TGGGGGAGGGAATCTAAGCAGGGAAGGAAGGGTACGATGAAATGGTGGTTGCTGTAGATGGCTGGGGGTTGGGGGAGGGGGGAGGGGGGAGGGGGACGACTGTTGTATGTGTTAGGGAGTGGGGTTCGGGGGTGTAGGGAGTAGGGAGTAGGGTGTTGGGGTTTAGGATAGGGAGACTGGAAGGGTAAGTACAATGAAAAGTATGCAGGATCCAGCGGCCTACCGTCTTCACCCGAATAGAACGCCCGGTCATTATCACTGTATCTAGACTGAAAGTTGCATCAAATACAGCTATAATGACCGGGCGTTCTATTCGGGCAAAGAAGGTAGCTCAGTTGGTAAGGCAGGCACGTGGCATTCAGGAGGTCATGGGTTCAATTCCCATTTGGGCTCCTGGACACGCTTGGCACCCGCCACCTAGAGATAGCCCGTTGGTCCCCCGGATGGGCACTGAGCAGAGATTGCTGATGTTCGTAGGGGGAGAGGAAAGGGAGGGGAGGGGATTTCTCATTGCTCAATGACATGTATCTTCCGGGATGGGCTTCTTTGGACAAGCTCTTTCGGTCCTGATGCTACCACGGTCCACTGACCCCTGGCCGGTATGGCCGCCCACCTGAAGGTCGGACGCAACCCCCGCATGTTCCCTCGGTTGGAGGCTTGAACACGGGCTGACTGCTAAGGTCGCAGTTGGTTTCCTGTGGTCAGTACACAGGGCCTCGCTCCACTACTCAACACTTTACATGTATCTGGACTCAAATTTGGACCGGAGACATTCCTATTGATGGAACGTCTTGTATGTATCAAGACCATTACCAGCTATGGATACATTTAGAAAGTTGTGCAGTGGAGCGAGACCCATTGTCTATTGTTGTTGTCGACCAACTTCTTCTTCTTCTTCTTCTTCTTCTTTTAATCTCCAAGAGACTAAACCACCTGCTTGTCTCCCTACAGGCTTAGGGGAATCCAAATAGAACTCACATAAACAAGATTTGTTGAGAAAACAAAAAAGAAAGGAGTATGTACTATGTACTACGTTTCCTTTCTGTTTTCAAGTACGTTTCCTTTGATTAATACATTGTTGGGGGAGTTAACAAAAAAAAAAAGAAAGAAAAAAAAAAAACATCCTTTGTTGAAAACACCATTTATTAAAAAAAAAAAACAAAAAAAACATCATCCATTAACAAATCCCATAGCAGTGGAATGTTGTTGGTAAGTCGACCCAAAAAAAAAAAAAGAAAAAAAAAGGAATGTTGTGGGTAAGCTCAGTAACGGGTCTGTGGACAGAGGGTATAGGGCCTTTGTCCAGTACAAAACACTGTACATGCATTTGGACGCTTTCTGGACCAGGTGCATTCGGCCACAGATAGGGATATGGATAACAGATCGGAAGAAGGTGGTTACCAAACAGAAGGAATAGGGCCTTGCTCCACTACAGAACACTCTACATGCATTCGGACGCTTTCTGGAGCAGGTGCATTGGGCCGAGTCGGACATTTTGAATGTATCGGGTCCAAAAAGCATCCAAGTGCATGTAGAGTGCTGCGTTGTGGAGCGAGGCCCATATAGGAAAGAGACATGTTCTCGGCAGTTGGAAGGAACCGCAGAGCAGGCTCTCGGCGGCATTCGGTCAACAGATCACATAACAGTAGGAATTTTACAGTCCAGGTTCTCTGCATCTAGCAATTGAAACCGTAGCAGTAGGAATTGCATTCATGAGAATTTCTCTGCCCCCTCCCTATCTCGCACAGCAATCGTACTTGCAAGGAGATTGTTGTATATTAAATTATTAATGCATGATTGTGTTCTTTGATTGGTTCAGGGTGTTGAAGTGCTGTTCTTTTTTTTTTTTTTTGTGTGTGTGTGTGTCGTCCACCGATCAGATATTGAACGGATCAGAACAGATATGACACTTGATCTTACTTAGCCAAAAGGCCAACGAGATATTAAATTGATGATCCGAGCAGATACAGTGCACTTGGTCTTACTTACATGCCAAAAGGCGTATAAAGGTGATGTATGACAGTTGTCGGAATTGCGGACGGATTTCTGCGCCGGTTCGAATCCGTGAAGGAGGTCCTGTGGCTGATAAAGTGCAGACTGTACCCTAACCGGGTAACCAGCCCGGAAATTATACCTGGATGTGGTGGCCCGTGGATAAAACCGTTGGATAAGCAGTTGTGCTGGATGAGAGCGGAGTGTGCGACTATTGCCTGTGTGGCGGATGCCTTGTGTGGTGTTGTGTGTGTGTGTGTGTGAGTTGAAGGACACTACAGCCATGCAGGGGTGGGGAGGATATCATGACCGGCATGCATCCACTTTTATACACCGTGCCATGGCTGTAGTGGTTAAGAGACTCGGCTTTTGAGGCTGAGGGCGCCGGTTCGAATCCGTCCGTGCACGGAGGAGGTCCTGTGGCTGATGAAGTGCAGACTGTGCTCTCGTCAAAAAAAAAAAAAAAAAAAAAAAGATTTCAACAATCAAAAGCTTCACAACAATCAACCTCCTAAGAAGAACCAAACTCCTTATAACAATCACACGCACAGCAATCAAACTCCCAAGGACAATTAAATTCGTCACAGCAATCGAACTCCTCACAACAATCACCGTCCTCAGAGGGTCAGAACAATCAAAAATTCAAAATCCATCCCAAAGTCGAACTCACTTCTGCCATCAACCTCCTCACAACAATGAGACTCAGAACGACAATCAAGCTCCACACATTAAAAAATTAAAAATCAACCTCCTCAGAACAGTCAGACTCCTCAGAACAATCCATCTCCTCAGAAAAATTGAGTTTCTCACGAGTCACAACGATCAAACTCCCAGCATTCAAACTCCCCAGGACAATTAAACTCCTCACAACTGTCAGACTTCCCAACAATCGAACCCAGAGAGAGCTGGCCTTGCTGTTGCTGTTCCTTGCAAAATATTTTCCATTGTAAGCTTGTGCTGTGTGCAGTCTCCATCGAGTCGAGTTGAGAGGCGGTTAATGGAAGGCCCAAAAGTCGGCGAATTTTGGCAAATTTTTCACCGAAACTGTCATATTTCCCTGAATTTTTACTCTTTTCTCAGTTTTTCTTTTTGCCTGTATATATCGTCAAATAGAACTGCCCGGTAAACCGTAGGCAGAGAGGGAGAAGAGGACAACAAACGAGGGGCTGTGACAAACTGTTTTGTCGGAGTTTCACCGACTCATCAGGAGGCTGAAGTTTTTCTTTTTGCCTGTATATATGTGCTTTAAGGTATATCTGTATTCAGTTTCGCCGTATTTGAAGCAGTAACAAAAAACTTAGCAAAAGCCGAATTTTTGGCCTTCCATTAACCGCTAGTGGTCGAGTTGGGACCAATTGCGTGAGTTGGATGCCTTGAACCTCTAGTACCTTTGGTGCGTGGGAAAATAGCGGGCCTCCGGTGGGCCTCCGACCTTTCTGGAGGCCGAAACAAAACGACGGCCGCCGATCAGATTTATCAATGGCAGCCATCGTCGGGCCCAGCCTGCGAAACTTCCACTTTTGGGAAAACGTCCACTTTTCCCTATTTTCCCACGCGCCAAATGTACTAGTGGTGTAAGCCACATTGAGCAATGGGAGTGACGTTGGCTTGTAGGCTTCAATTCATTCAATCAAACTCCTCACAACAATCAAACTCCTCTCAACAATCAAACTCCTCTCAACAATCAAACTCAGAACAACAATCGAACTTCAATCAATAGAACTTATAATAATTGAACAGAGGACAATCGAACTAAGGACATTTGGAGGACTTACAACAATTACCATTGACAAGTGACTCAATTGTAAATGATGCAGGTTTCCTTTGATCAGTACATACTGGATCGACCGCGTTTGTTTCATGCCATGTTCCCCGATCGTAGCCGCAGCCAGCGTCTTGACGAGGTACCATTCCATTCTCCATTCACCCTCTCTCTCTCTCTCTCTCTCTCTCTCTCTCTCTCTCTCTCTCTCTCTCTCTCTCTCTTGTTCCTCCTGCCCTCAGTTTTCCTCCACTCTTTAATAAACAACGATGATACCTTTAGAGCCAATCAGATGTGTTGTCATTCCCCAACAAGTAAATTGCTGCTTAGGAATTTCTTTCCCTTGTTTTCTGAAAAGTGTAAAAGGGTCATCAGATCCGGTTTTTGATGCCTGGACATAACAACGGACACACAGCTTGGTGTCTCTTTTTGAATGGTTTCAAAAAAAGATGATCGAAGCATAATATGGATGGTAGCAGACCCCAGCACCCTCTCATAGAATCCATGCATGAGTGTTTCATAGGGCCTTGCTGCCCTACTCACCACACACAGAAAATATGAAAAAAACGTGGCTTTGTATGAACTTGTATCTTTTTTTTTTTTTTTTTTTTTTTTTTTTTAAACGTGACGTTGTATCTTCCGGTGTTCTAGCGGAGGATTCATTCTCATTCTGCACATTTGGTGAGTAGTGGAGCGAGGCCCATAGTCTTTTGCAAACAGAGAGTTTATAGCTGGGGAAAAGTCCATGGGCTGGAAATGACAAACTGCCAGGTAGGTGGGTGGGTAAGGTAGCGAAGAAAAGTGGGCCCCAATAGTCTTGTGCTGTACAAGATAAAACCTTTAGCTACCTACCCAGCCTCTGTGTGTGTGTTGGGGGGGGGGGGGGGGGGGGGGATGGTACATAAATAAATGTAACCGTTGATAAACAGGTCATGGGTTCGAATCACGTCGAAGAATCTGTAGCCTGTAGGTAAAGAGGAAACAGAGAGTTTATTTATGACTGGGAAAAGGCCATGAGATGGAAGGGAGAATTGCTGGGTAGTTCGGTAGAAAGCCAAAATGCCGACACAACTGCACCCCGCGGATACTCTTCTGCTGTACAAAGATTACAGGTAGCAATCCACCCACCGCGTGTGGCTGAATGGTACACACGATGTCATGTAACTGTCGATAAACAGGTTGTGAGTTCGAGTCCAGACGGAATCAAATGGGTACAATAATGTCAGGCGCTTACCCTCTCTATCCTTTCACCCAAAAGAAAGAACAACAACAGGTAATAAGGCAAACTCCAGGCAGGGCTTGTGAAGGTGAAGAAGGGGATGTGAGTTGTATTCTGCTGTGTATAAGAGCACGTGGCAAACTGCAGGAAAAAAAGAGCTTGGCGAGTCAAAGAATAGGATGCCAGTATTATTCTGCTGTGTAAAAGAGCGGTTCTTTATTGTTTGTGGTGTCGACTTTACCTGCAATAATAGTGAAGTCAGGAAAAAAACTTTAAAAAACTTTTGGAAAAGTTGAAAAAATGACAAAAAAGTGCGCAAGCTCGAGGCCAAACTGTCCGCGAGTCCATCTGGATGTCGGGATCTCGACGATGATGTGCACCTGTGATGATCATAGTGCCTCGTGCAGATATGGGCCTGAGCATTTCGTCGGCCTTGTTCGGAGCTGTCCGACTATGGCTTCGACGGACATCTGACAGATGCGTTGTCGCAAAATAGGTGAATCGAAAAGCCCATTAGGGGCATACAGACATCACAACTGTTTTCGACCGAATCTGGGCAGCTTGAAAGTCCTGGGAAGTCCTAGTGTGGACACGCCTAAGTCACCCACCTAGTTGGTCACTGATTCATATTCTTCTTCTGGTAGCAAAATGCAGATACGATGATATGATCACTTATGGCTTCGACAGACATCGGGCTGATCGGTCCGGTTGAGATCGAGATCTCTCACGTCAATCAGATGCAGCAAGCATATTTCGCTTTTCGGGACAAATGCCTCACTAAGTACTATGGTGCAGATAATAAACTCTCTTGAAGATAAACTCCCTCAAAGATAAACTCCCTCGAATATAAACTCCCTCGAAGATAAACTCCCTTGAAGATAAACTCCCTGGAAGATAAACTCCGCCGAAGATAAACTCCCTCGCCATAACGTAAAAAAGTATACAGTCAAGTTGAGTACACTGGTTTCATTTGCATGAAGCTACACTTGCTCGTCGGAGAAAACGAAAATGGTGAGGAAGAATTGAGGAAAAAATGGAGTGGATCAAGGACACCTTCCTGGGTATTCGACCTCTCCGAGTCGTTGTTTTCACATGTTTGTCTGCCTTCTTTCCTCCTCTTTTTGATGTTTCCACATGACTTTTCTTTTTTCTTTCTTTCAAAAGGGCATCTGATTCAGCCTCTCGAGATATCATCTCATATCATCGTTGAACTCACAGGTCCCACGTAATTCAGAAGTAAGTAATTTATTCTGGTCATCTGACTGTAACTGGATTCGAACTTGCGTCTGTATTTTCACCAGTTGGTGACCATGTACCGAGTGAGCTAGGCTCGTTGGTAACATGGACTCGAGGGTCTTCATGTTGCCAATCACTTTGATTTGATTTTGCTTGCCTGCTCGTTCAGGTGTCGACCTTTCGTCGTTTTCACATGTTTGTCTGCCTTCTTTCCTTCCTTCTGCTGTTTTCACAGGACACAAGCGGGAAAATGGACTTATGATTAAACTTCCTTAAAGACACCTTCCTTGGCACTCGGCCTTTCGTCGTTCTCACATGTTTCAACTTTCAAGTTGTCTGTGCGTCCTTTCATCCTCTCTTTGGTGTTTCTGCAGGAGACATGGCGCATCTTCATGTTACCAATCACGTTCATTTTCTTGTCTGCTCGGCCAGTCGTTGACATGAGAATATGGAACGAGGATGCATCGAGTTTCAGTGTGGCCATCGCTCGGAGAGCCGGGATGGTTAACGGGACGGCAAAGAAAGCAGCACACACTCTCTGCCTGCAAGCTGTGAGTGGAATTTTTGACTTGTACCTTAACTTGATGCACACACTCTCTGCCTGCAAGCTGTGAGTGAAATTTTTGACTTGTACCTTAACTTGATTCTGAAAAGCACTGCAAAGCAGAGCTAAGGTATCTGTGAACCGGCTTCTTAGGAAGAAGTTCTTTTCGTGTCCGTTTCGCGGCAACCGCCCCCAACCC